ATCGAGCTTATTGCGGTGCCTCCTCTCGACATGCACCCACGCAGTACACCCAAACACGCGCAAATCAGAGACATCTGGCTTCACGCGGTGGAAAACTTCAAAGGGCGTTATCTGTTTGCCCGACACAGGCGAACAATTATACAGGGCACATGCAGTGGTGATAGCTTCGGCCCATAGTTCGTGCGGTAATCCTGAGTCTTGTAACATCGCGCGGGTCTTCTCTAGGAGTGTGCGGTTCAGCCTCTCAGCGCGGCCATTTTGCTCAGGAGTGTACGGCACGGACGTGTCATGCTGGACCCCCTTACCCTTAAGGTACTGTCCTAGAGCCTTATTCAAATACTCCCCACCGCGATCCGACTGAACTGCTAGCAGCTTCTTGCCCGATTGGGTCTCTAACAGCTGCAATACTTCCTGGGCCGCTTCCGGAACTTCTCCCTTCGTCCCTACACAGCGCACCACTGCAAAACTCGAATACTCATCCAGAAACGTGGCGACATACCTTGACCCGCCCATAGACGGAACAGGCATCTCACACACATCCATATGCACTCGCTGCAAAACACGGTTTGCTGCATTCCCGGACGGAGGAAAAGACGCGCGGGTATGCTTGGCCTTCACACACGGCTCACAGATACTCTTCTCCTTCACCTTCTCCCGGATTTCAGCCGCGCTCAGGCCCATACCAGTGACCATTTCATCAGACACGAGCTTCTCTAAATTACCGTACCCTATGTGTCCGAACCTACGATGCCAAAGCTCCGCAGATTCAGACAAGACCGCCAGGGTTTGAACACTCTCCCCCTGGCCCAAACGGGTCGCCTTTAGGTAGTAATGGGTGCCCACCCGCACACACGGGATTTGCTCCCCGTACTCCCACTCCAGGCTTGCGTATTTCCTTATCCGCGGGCCTAGGCTGACAAGACGTTTCGGCCGCCTAATCACAGCAACCGGCCCACGAAAATCCACGTGGTAACCCTTCAGACCTAGTTCGCCTACCGAAATCAGCTTGTGACCTAATCCCGGCGCATGATACACATTCTTTAGGGTAATCTTAATCTTGCCATTGTCTCCCTCTGCATCTAGCAGGACGGTACCCACTCCAACCGTCTTGCAAATCGCACCCGCCACACCTTCTAGGACTATGCCGTCCGTGAGCGGTACGTACTCGCTGAAGTCCGACCGGTCGTCCGTAACATGGACGGCCGCGGCCGAGTCCACTTTCCAAGCCAGCTTGGCGAGCGACTTCTCAGCTGTTGCCTGGATTTCCTTGGCTTCGGAGGTGGTGGAGGTGGTTAGGGCCATTACCAGCTGCTTGCTGCGTCGGTTGTTGCCCCTGTTGTTGCCTCTTGTGACGAGCGGGCACTGAGACTTGATATGCCCCAGGACACCACATTTATGGCACTTATGGGTTGCGTAGGGGTTGATGGAAACATCAGGCCCGCCAGAGCTGGTACTCGCCCCGACGTTGACATTTCCCTGGCCTTTACCAGCTCCACTACGGTAGTCGCCACCGAAGCCACGGTGGCCTACCCCACTGCTCCGGTTGCTAAACGCCAGGGCCTCGGCCTGGGCCCACTCTGCGTTGTTGTCACCTTGCATCCG